ATATCTGTTCTACTCTCTTGATTTTATTTAATTGTATAACTAATAAGTTGATCTTTTCTCTAGATTATTTGATGTTAGGTGTATAAGGTTTTCTAATAAAATCAGATGTTGAAGGAACTTTAGGTATAATTGTAATAAAGATATAGAATTATTAATATTATATAGAATGATAGTTTTTATTATAATAAGTAGAATGGGATTATTTTGGAATCTACACTTTTTAAATTGAGCTTATCACTTAATAAATTCACTTTTTTCATAATGGAATACGAAAATTTTATAATGTATATTTATCTAAATTCTATGCGAGGCACGAGCCAAACGGGCCCTAAGTTAGTAGCTATAGATAGGATTATGTGTATTAGTTATGGCTTTATTCTGTTCTTTATTTGATCTCATCTCATCTCATCTCATCTCTTACTCTTTCTTACTCTTTCATACCTCTCATTTCATATGTTTTTTTCGTATTATCTTTGATATTTAGACTGTATAGCTAGCTAGCTAGCTGGTTGTATTTATTGTATTTGTATACAACTACTCGAGTATTCAGATGAGATGAGATGAGATGAGAAGAGAACATATGAAATGAGATAACCACCTAGCACCTAGCACTACACCTAGCAATACACCTGAAATAATACTTATTAATAATTCTCTATTCGCCATAGACTATAGATTATAGGCTATAGGCTATATATAGACCATAGCACCAAGTTTTGCAACCTCGATACCTACTGTATTTTTATATTTATATACATATATTTAAATATATATAGGTTACATACAACACCATAATCCAATCTAATCCAATCCGATCATCTCACCCCTTTTACTTTTACTTTTACATTTACAAGCGCACTGCACCTTCCTTTTCGTTTTTTTTTGAGTGAAATATTAATGGATGGGATGGGATGGGTTGGGTTGGGTTGGGGGAGGGGGAGGGGGAAAGAAAAAGAGATGGAAAAGGGAGAAGGAAAAGGGAGATGGGAGAAGAAGAAGGGAGAAGAAGAAGGGAAAAGGGAAGGGAAAAGGAAAAGGAAAAGGTGGAGAGTTGAGTTGGGTTTCTTGACTTGTACTCGAGTATTCGAGTGGTATTTTTTATTTATTCATGATATGGCTTGATGAACTGATTATCTTTCATTTATCATGATAGTATGTTATGTATGTAGTACTCGAGTATATGGATAACCGTGATGATTCTATTGAGATGATTAAGATACTATATCCATACATCCATCTATCTATCCTATCCTCCTCTACTCATCATTATTTTCTATACAAGCAAATTTCCTCTCCTCCAGAACTTTGCGCTCTTCCGCTCCCCATCCCCCATCCATATCATATCATTTCAATCACATCACAACCCCACCTCCACCGTCTGCCCAACCGCCAAATTTATATGCGGATCATCCTTGCCATTCCCATTCACAGCCGTAACATCAGCATTAACGTCTACTTTTTGAGACGTAGATTTATCATCATCTGAATGTGGCTCCGCGGAGTCAGGGTCAGGGTCAGTATCTGAACCGTAGTTCTTGGGTGTTTCGACGGGGATATGTTCGCGGAGAGCGAGGTAGGTTGTTGGGAGGCAGATTACTGGGGGGGTGTTGTGTTAGTGGGTTGGGCTAGTGGGGTTGGGGAGAGGGAGAGGGAGAGGGAGAGGGAGTGGGAGGGGGCGAGTGGGTGGAGAAGGGAGGGGGTGGGGAGATGGGAATGGATGGGAATGGAGATGTTAAAGATGTTGAAGTAGTACAAGATGGATGGAGTGGATCTTCTAGGGAGGATGAAGAGCCGAGGGAAGATGACATAACATACCGAGTAAAATAGTATTGACAGCAAGTGGAACACGACCCCTGTACCAATCCTTCGTGTTAATACCGAACGAGACGGCTTGGGCGAAACTTTCTTGACCGCGTAGGATACCTGTGAAGCGTGCTTTACTCGTTATTAGTATCAATCTTGGAGAATCAAGATTTGATCGGGTAGGGATAAGGGGAGGGAGGGAAGAAAAGAAAACATACATAATTCGGAGATATTATCAGTTTTGGTGGAGACGAAATAATAGAGCCAGTTTTGTAGGGTTTGTTGTGAGAAACCTGGAGAGGGGTGTATGATATTAGCTTATAGTCCCGATCATGAGGGATTGTAAGGAGAGGTAGGTTACATACTCCATAATATGAGAACAAAAAATCCTTTTGTGAAATCTTTATCCGTCCAATCGAGATCTGGTTGATCACGGCCGAACTGTTCGTTGACAATCCATGCGTATATCCAAGCTACTATATGCCAGAAAATTGCGTAGTAGAAACTTTATGTTTTGTATTAGTGGAAGGATCTGAAATAGGTGAGAAACTGGGGATTGGGGATATCCATACCCAATATTGAGACGCTTCTTGACGGGATATCCTTGATAATCAAGAAGCATGCTCATAATTTGAGAGGCGATAAGGTTGGCAAAATTACCTAGGAATTGTTAGAAATGTAAGAAGAGTGATATGATGGGCATTGCAAATAGAGGGACCATACCGACAAAACCAATCAAAGCTCTTCCACGAACTCCAAAGTAATAAACCTCATAATCTATAGATCGTCAATTTCTAATTCCATTGGACCATTGCACTTCCTATGTATATGTACTTACTTCCAGAATATTGGTTAAAATACGAAGCCCAAAAGACAAGTAATAGAAGCAGAATCTTTATCCATGAGGTCAGTTCGACGGATAATAAGAGGTCATGAACAGTGGACATACATCACGTCTTGCGCATGTCTTTGCGAGTGCTTTCATTTCCGCTTTGAAAGACCCTTCTGCGATAATTTTGATCTTTGAACCATCGGATCTTTGGGCCTGATAGTGAAGTTAGTGAGCTATTATTGAGCGTGCGTCATGAGACTGCTTACTTTTTCTGGGGAAGAGAGTGCGAGAGCAATGAAAGCAGCGAGACATTGGAGGGTGATGAAGATAATGTATACAGCTGAATGTAACGTAAGCATTTTTCTGATGAGCGGAGTTCGAAGAACACATAAGTTTCACTCACAATATCCAACTTTTCCCTTTTCTTTCTGGCTAGTCGCACTATTGCATTGTCAGTAAGATATCAATGAGAGGATACGTTGAGGTAGAACAAACTGATTAAGTCCTAGAACGATAGCTCCGCCAACCAGTGGTCCTCCAGTACGAAACCATAACCAAATACTATTCCCATCAGCCTCATGTACCATCTCAGCTCACGATAACTGCGTAGCATGCATGACATACTTCATATATTTCCCCCTTTTCGCCGGTTCGGGATATCCCAATGCAATTGCCCCCTCAGCAGCCCAGAATAGTCCTGCCCTGAACCATCACATAAGCCAATCTGTTGTATGCTAGGACTTACACTTTCGCAACTTACGAAATACCACATGTCACAGCTCCAACAAGAACCAGCCAAACAGTACCATATCGATTATTAGCATAGAGCCCCGCTCTACCTCTTCATTAGCATATACGTCCCTCCCTTTCCGTCACAGGAACATACGAATAAACCGGATATCCCACCACCCCAAGCGTCAAAGTATATTTCAACCCTATACGATTTGCAATTGGTCCACCCAGTAAACAGAAGATTCCCACTGAACAAGCATTTCATCAGCAACATTTCCAGCCGAGAATCAAGCGTCGAGGTCGAGAAAGGCAGATAGCACTTACTCAAACCAAAGACCAAGGCATTGGCAGCATTAATCAGAAAAGGCGACTCTGCACCCCCAGCACCTAGGGAGGACATAGCATTCCACATGCCGGGGGCTAGAAACCCTACTGCGCCGATGACGAAGGCATTGAAGAGGGACGAGCGGTACCATAGTCTCTTTTCTAATTGACGTTCTGAGGGAGGCTGGTCAGCTAGTTTTGCGGAGGTCATGTTCCTTGGGGAGACTTGTTGTCGATCTGGAATGAACGAAATACGGTATGGTCTACTTACAACGCATAAATGTATGGGAAAGTATATATATGTATATATATGCCCTAACTAGACCGTAGAAATTATGATTCTCATATCACTTCATCTCGTATAGATATTTTCCATAGCCATACTTCCCTCCCATCTTGTTGGAATCACTAAACAGCTTCCCTTTTAGGAGAAAATCACACTTGGCGTACAGAGCCGCTTTTGAATACCCATATATAAATCAAAGTTATAAGCATGAGAACTACCTCAAAAGATCAAATGACGTGATATAAGTAAATAAAGCAGCAATAAATTTTCAGAAATACTACAAATGCGAATTTGACGCATATATGGCGAATAATGCTCATCATCCATCCTTGATACGTAAACCCGGCAAATACCGATGTTGGGCCGATAGTACCCATGAGGATGTAATAAACTCGAGTACATCTATTATACATTACTGATATCCCACTGTGCAAACCTGATATTCTCTATCCCCTATTTAAGCTGGTCGATCCACCACCATTGTTATCATCAAGATAGAGAGATTCCATATCTCTTGGTAGGAATAGCCGTCGTCTCTGCAAGAGCAACAGTCTTGTCCTCCTCGAGATCAAGACTATCCCCCAAAGATCGTCTTTTGGTTCCCCTTGACCCAATCGATTCATTAATACCATGCTCGACAAAATTAAGAGTCTCCGTGTTCTTGGTGACGGCATCATCAGCTTTGCGCTTGGTCGATATATTATAAGCAGTCTGTCCCTGAAGTATTGTATTGGTGGCGGTTTTAGAAAGAGAGAAACCAGGAACATCTTCAAGCGTCAGAGGATCCTTTGGATATATGGATGAAGCAGTGCGAAGACCGCCAATATCTAAGAGCATATTGCCGTCAACCGAGATAAAGATACTTCGGTCGTTGTTGCGGTTGGCACTGATTGATGACGAGCTGCCACTTGCCATCGGTTGGTTGAAGAACATTGATGAGCTTTTTCTGCCAATTGGTTTGGGGCGCACGGGATACGGTGGGTGCGATGACTAGTGCCTGAGGAGGTTTGGGACTCGACATGTTGTTTTGATTTGTAAGGGAATTGACTGGAACCATTGTTGTGTTGGTGTGCTAGATTTGGTTTGGTCAAGATGAGGAATTCACAGAGATATCTCGCTCTTGTAAACTTTGGCTATCTTGTATAGACTCAACTTGACTGGACCTGGTGTCAGATTGTTTATGTGTAGATTGTCATTGTTATAGGGTTCCCAATCCAGGTAGTTCTGTAGTTGTAGATTGTGATTATAATTGTTGATGACGTTGTGTATGAGACTTGGTTCTCTCAGAAATTCAAGTGACAAGTATGAGAAAACTGTATTATGCCTTACTAAAGGTTTGAATCAAAGATATGGCCACGAGGTTTTCTGTTTGAGTAAAACCTTTGAACTTAGTTTCCGTAGTACGGCTCACTAAAAACGTACCAACGTTCTAGTCTCCGAGTTCGCGGAGCCCCATCAGAGCCCCCATCAAACGACGTCAATCTCGTTGTAATGGGAGTTCTCGCAGGATCATCGGCCACTTCTCCTTTCCATTCCTCCATTGCCATCCAATGCGCCACTTGTAATAATTGTGAAGCTTTATTCTTGCCTACTTTGCTGGAGAATCGAAATCCAGAACGTTATTTCCCCAACTCCAAACCAAGATGCAAATACATAGGTAATACACGATCCACGGCTCTACTAATGATTCCGAAAATTCTTTTTTCTACACAGGAGATGTCAGTACTTATTTGACTGTATCTTGGGACGGAAAAGCTTACTGATAGAACAAATCCGTCCTACTACTACCCAGATTGATAATCTTCGGACATCCATCACGGTCCTTTTCCAATCTCGTACATTCAAAGCAGTAGAATGCATCTGAAATGCCTTCTCCTCCACATACTACACATTTGTTTTGATAGTTTCCAAAACTGCACTCTTCGCAGATGCGTACGAGAGTGGTTGGACGAACGTAGGAATCGCATACGGGACATTTACCATCGCATTTATCGCAGAGACGTCCGATGGCTATTCCGGATTGCTTCCTGCACATTACGAGATCTCTAGAGGTAGGTTAGCATCTACAAACCTTATAGCGAAGGGAATTTATACATACGGATGATGGCGAGACATGTTAATTGATCTCTATACAGATTATCAAAGTTGGGGGTACTTTGATTAGGAAATTGGCATAAGTTGTAGAAGAGAAAGTTTTGATATCACTCACTGCCTCCAAATTCTTGAGCTCTCATTATTTGATTTCTAAGCACAGACCACGAGACCATACTGTAACGCTAGTACCGACAGGGCCTTCAAGGGAGTTGCACCTTATTATAAGAAATTCTGCTAATCTATTTAAGGTGATGTTAATAAATATGACAGACCTACCAGCGTAAGTAACTAATCAATCAAGTAATGGTCATGAAAGCTTACTAATAGAATACAGACCCGTAGCATCTGAAGTTGTCGTTCCTAAACAACATGCGCCAAACGTTAAAAGTCCTCGCAGCAAGCGTCGACAATCATCCGTATCCGAGGAAGCCTCTAAACGTCTGCGAATCTCCACCGAGGACAGTGCTGGCTCTCCATCTACCTTACATTCCTCTCCACAGGCTATCGATTCCTCGAAGCATGAATCGTCTGGAAAGGCTCAACCTCTTGGTAATTCGCCAGAGAAGTCAAGAAATGTTCATCCTGAAAGGCGGAGGAGCAGTGTTCAAGAGGAGCGCAAGCGCGGCCAAAGATTGTTTGGAGGCTTGCTGAATACTCTCAACCAAAGTACGCCCAATGGACAGCAGAAGAAGCGACAAGAAATTGAGGCGCGGCAAAAGGAGAGAGCTGCGCAACGAAGAGCTGAAGCAGAAGATAGGAAGAAGGAGAAGATTGCGAATCTGAAAGCGATACGTGTGGTCGAGCAAGTGAAATTCCAGGAAGGATCGGTTAGTTATTATTCGAGGGGGTTGATGGAGACAAGGCTGATGAGATGTGATGAAGATGCGAATACGGCATACGAATGTGCTGGCTATGGCCCAATTTTTATCCACGGAAACAGAGCCAAAACTCGTAGGGACTACACAATACTTACATCTAAAACGATTACTAATTTGTTAAGTATTACAAACCATGGCTATTATCACCCAGGAACGAAGCTACAATCAAGGCCCAGGTCGAAGAAGCCGAGGTGTTGATCGAGCAAGAGAAGTCTGAGTGGGCGAGTCGACATCCAGAACAAGGGCTGAAGGCTGAAGAGAAATCCGAAGTAAAGGTGACGTCTGATGTGATGATGGGTGAGCCTCATACCGAGTCTCCATCTATTTTTAACATTGATACTACTAATACAATTTCTGCACTTGCTGTTCAGTCCTCACAGATCAAGACTGAGAAAGATAATCTGGAAGAGCATAATGGTGAGGTATTAGTAGAAGCAGAAGAGGATACTGTCATTTATTGATTGTTCAACCTGGATAGGAGTTTACTGGTCGGAAAATGCTCGGATGGTGTTTAGGTGCTGGTGCCTCTAGGAGTCCAATGATATCCCGAGCCGTCTTGTAATTTAAAATGTTTCTTTTCCCTTCAAGGTTACTCGCAAAACTGATTTCCGAGGCCTCCTCCGTGCTAGCATCGGCCGCCAAGCCAGTACGAAACTCAATGCCTAGGTACAAATTCCTATACGGTGACACGTGTGTGTGGGACTAATTCGAAGTCCGAGCTATCATCGAATTATTTGCCCTTCTACGATTAAGGTTCAGGGAAACGGAGTCCGTAATACAATGCCGTCGTACCAGTATGTTTATGCGTTGCACAAAAGCAACCAGCTATTTGTGCCTCTTCTGAATACCGGTATAGATTCGATCATTGGGTGTTTATCGAGATTCGGAAGGGTCTGCTCTTCTCGATAATTGATAGAGATAAAGAAACATAAATCGAAAAGAGACAGGTGCAGTGTGTAGCATGAGCGCGACCCCATATGTCCCAATTTTTATCTACTTGAGCCGAGGCAATGCTCTTGGTGGGGCAGGCAGCCTCAATGTTTAAATGGCCCAACAGTTCCACCTCAACTACCTACTATTCAAATATTTCACTTAGAACGAAGATCAAAATGGCAGATAAACTTGCAGCACAAGACTCTCGAGTCCAATATAAGTCCGCCGATGTAAATGGTCGAACTTACTCCTATATCCTTGCCGAACCTCAAAATGGCGCCGAACCTGTCGCGACAATCTTCCTTATTCACGGAGTAAGCATTACATTCCATTTCTGGCTTGCAAAACAACTTTTACAATTCGATCAAACGCTCGAATTGACATCATGACATATTACTATTATTTACTGACTCCTCTCTAGTTCCCTGATATGGCATTTGGCTGGAGATACCAAATTCCCGCGCTCCAAGCTCTGAACTTCCGCGTCGTAGTCCCAAATATGCAAGGCTACTCCTCCTCTTCCTCCCCCCAAGAGCTCAGTGCCTTCACCTACAAAACCGCCGCCGACGATGTCGCTGCTCTCGCCAAAGTCATCGGAGCCACGTCTATCATCCTCGGAGGCCACGATTGGGGTGGAGCCATCGTCTATCGAATTTCCATATACTACCCCCAACTTATTACCGCCGTCTTCAGCATCTGCACGCCATTTTTCCCACCCCAACCGAAATATACTCCCATGACTGTCCTACCCAATTTTAAATACCAGTTGCAGTTGCAAGGACCGGATGTTGAGAGGGAAATTGTCGGGGTGGAGAAGTTGAGATTGATGTTGAATGCAACATATGGTGGCCAGGGACCTAACAAGGAAATTGGGTTTACGGTCGCTGACGGAGTGCTCTTCGACAACCTTGAGAAACTTGGCCCCTCACCACTGATTAGCAAGGAAGATCTCGATTACTATGCCGAGCAATATGCTATCCATGGCATCCGCGGCCCCTTAAATTGGTACCGAACCGGCGAGTTAAATTTTGAAGATGAGAAGGAAATGGCGGAATTATTTCATGCCGAGAATGGATATAAAATTGAGATTCCTACCATGTTTATTGCGGGGACAAGGGATGCGGCATTACCACCTGTGATGAGCGAGGGCATGGCGAAGTGGTTTGGGGAGGGGAAGTTGAGGAAAGAAGAGGTCGATTCGAGTCATTGGGCTTTGTGGGAGAAATCGGAGGAGGTTAATAGTCATATTAAGGATTTCTTGTTGAAGATTGTTGGTGGACAATCTCATCTTTAGATTATATAATATCATTAGAAGGGGTGGATTGATAGTTATACTCGAGTAGAACCTACTAATCTTACCAACCATATTTTATCTTCAACACAACCTAACAGTTCCGAAACCTGATATACTATTGATCCTAGACTCTCAGCGTTGCAAGCTTTGTAACTGAGTACTCGAGTAGATATACATGGTATATGTATACATGTGTTATGAGTGGCATACCGGTAACCTTATGTAGAGAAAAATCAACAAGTGTACCGTAGTACTCTATACCGTTATTGTAATGATATACTAGATCGATTTGGGGGAGATCAATATCAATATCAATAAGAGTCGAACTGAACTGGTGGCGGTTCTATTGAGAGCTGACTGATAGTATAGTATATGCTTTTATATTTATTAATCGTGGATGGCCCCTCTATATAGCTTTATTATACTTTATATGCACCTTTAAAGAAGATTCTACTGCCGATGGTTTTCGGTATCATACTCCGTTCCGTACATTAGTACTGTATAAATATAAACTTAATGAAAAGAATACCGTAGACAGTTATTATCAATTGATTCATCACCTGCGCAACTACGTAATTACTGTACTACGGTAGCTTGATCGAACCCATTTTATCATAATCTTTCTTTATCTATTGGATCGTTTAATAATAATAATAAATTTTAGCTTGCCATAGTGTTAAATCTTTTGAAATTCGGAAGCCTTGTCTTGTTTTGTCCCTTGCCTTGCCTTGTCCATCTTTCATTCATGATCCATCCATCTATTCATCTATTCATCTCACCAAACAACTCAACTTTCTACCGACCGATCAAATCTCACTTCATTTCCAACAAGTATTTATTTACCTATCTTTTATTACTTTTATGAATTTCTCCTATTTCAAACAAATCGATAAATTTTATGAAACGAAATGACAGACGCTTGTATTGTGTGTTTAGAGGATCTGGAGGTTCAACTTGAGGTGGTGGTCCAGGTCCCAGTCCCAGTCCCAGTCTCAGTGGTGCAAGACCCCAAAGCAATTTTATATGATGATCTCGAGGAGGGGGGCAAAGAAGTCACCGAGGAACTTTATCAACATCAATATAATTATCCTGGAAATTCCAACAACCAACAATCGGTGGCTCAAATTAAACCGTGTGGTCATGTTTTGCATGATGATTGTTTGAGAGAATGGAGTCGAAAGGCTAATAGTTGTCCAATTTGTCGGGCAAGCTTTAATTTGGTGGTAGTGCTGGATAGAGTTGGAGGTAAGCTTGCTATTTTATTTTTTTGCGAGATTTGGACTTTATCGCTTTTGCGACGACTAAATTTTATTTCTTTTAAAGTCTGAAAGTGAGGTTACATATCTATTGCGGCTTTGGGGAATAATTGAGCGTTGTCGACGACGATTAAAGGTTATATATTAACTTATTTCCATAGGAACGGTTCTATCAGAATACACCGTCGAAGATCGAAAACAAACAGCCGAGTTTAATTTAACTGAGTGGCAAGAAAATAACCCTGATGAATATGAAGATGAGGAAGAAGGAAGATCTTGCCCAATCTGCGATCAGTCGGATCAAGAAGATGTTCTCCTATTATGCGATGGCTGCGATGCGCCTTATCATACACATTGTATCGGTTTAAGCAATGTTCCAGGTGGTCACTGGTATTGTATGGAATGTGTGGAAAGTGGTGCTTTCAGCCTCCATGATGAATCACAAGGACCTGCTCGAACAATCCCCTTTTCCGGTCCGAATATCAGTAGAACTCAGGCCAGCGTTCGACGTGCTCGTAGGAACGGTAGACAAGATAGATGGATTAATGCTTGGGGTCAATTGAGTAGCGCCATTCGAAATGTCGCTGGCGTTGATCTCGATTTTGCCGAGGACGATCAGGAGATAAGAGGTTATAGAGATCTACAACAGTTCTCTGCTGCGGAATTCATGAGATGGGAGCAACGAATGCATATCGCCAGACGTCAAGGTGCTGGCCGAATATTTCGAGCCGCAGCGCCACAAGCTATGAGAGAGCGGATTGAACCACCGGCACCAGTGGTTGAGACTCGTGCAGAAAGGCAGGCGTGGGGAGCAATGGAGAGAGCTCAACATCTCGAGGACACACCTAATACAATAAAGCGCACAAGATCAACTACCTCATCACCAGCCAGCCGTGGAGGCTCAACACCAGAAGAACCCGAACGTAAACAGAAGCGTCCGAGAACACGAATTGTTCAGAATGGATTATCATCGGTCGCATCATCCAGTACAAATCCTCATCCTCAACCTGAATCTGAACTTGAACCTGAACCTGAACCTGAACCTGAACCTAGAAGGAGTAATGGACCAACAAATCCACTCAACACAAACTCGGTACCTACTTTTCTGTCTTCACTCCTTCGAGAAGTTGAGATGGCACCATCTTCGGATGATGATTCCGTAAGATTTGGACCAGATGTTACATTTAATCGAACAAATGGTGCTACAAGTCCATCCTTTGATTGTTCTTCACCCGCTACCTCGCCAGCATCTCCCGCTTCTTCTTATCATAGTCGCGCAATGTCGATCACACCTCCACCAAGAAGTACACAGTCCCGTTCTCCTCCTCTAAGCACAAGCGTTATGCCGGACTTTTCTGCTATCCACTATTCACCAAATCGATCACCATCAGCAGACTCAATTTCTAAAAGCCCAAATCAAAATAAGAAAAAGAGAAATGGATCTCCCGGATCTCCTATACCAGAAATTCGACAACCGCAACCTCGTCGACATAAAATATCTCGAGTCAGATCTCGACACTCATCAACATCTCGATCCGAAAATATTTCACCTGTACGAAATAACATGTCAATTGAAGAAAAAGAAAGCATCAACAAAATGGTTAAAACAGCTTTGGGACCTCATTGGAAGTCTCAAAAGATCTCGATGTCAAATGAACAATATGCCCATATCAATCGAAATGTATCAAGAAAGCTTTATGAACTTATTGCCGATAAAAAGTTACCCGACGGAGACAAGAGTTTATGGGAGAAAATTGCTACTTCAGAAGTCAGTAAAGCAGTTCAAACTCTCACAAAAGAGATTTCACCAAGTGGAATATAACGGCAAAATCTATGGGACTTTTCTTTCGGCAGGGCATATTTTCCAGGAGTACTTTGATGCGATTTGGGATGATACTTTTTAAACAATTACAATTGGTGTTATATGGAAGAAAGGGAATCATTGCATGATATGGGTGGTATGAAATGCTATTTATGATACCAATATATTTATTTTGCTTGGGGCAATATGAGAGTGATCCTAGCTCTAGGGATATACTTGCTTGTAATACATCTGGATGGAGAGGGATTCATATCATATACCTTGTATTTAATGATATAGTTGTTTTTGCGCGATGGATAGATAATGGATGGATGAATGGTGGATGAATGAGTTAATGGATATGTACATTGGGAGAAGAAGTGGTTAATTGGTGATATATATATATATGGGATATAGGAAGGGGTGAGGATGAAAATAAAGATAAAGAAAGGGAACGAGATTAAAAGTGCAATACGATTGATTGATTGATTGATCTGTATATGAGTATTAGATTATAAGATACTACCTAGTACTTATTTAAAGTTCAATTGTATTGGGGGGATTATTATATAGTATGAGTGAGAACTTAGAAGATGATGAGAGATAGGTGATGATAATGATGTTGTTGAGATACTGCAGATTTCCAAGAAACGAAAAGAAATGTTTCTTTATTATATTACTCGAGAACTCGTAGAGAAGATATAAATATTTTTGGTTTTGGGGGAAGGTGGTGGTGGGGAAGTGGTGAGAGAGGTGGTGAGGGAGTGAGGAAGTGAGGTTGAGATATATAAGAGATGTTTATATCATATGGGTTTGGTGTCGGTGGTGATGGTGATGTGGTGATGTAGCTTTTATAGATTTGGCCTTTTCAGTAATGTGAATATCTTTTATTGATATAAAAATTGACCTCAAGAATGGTAGGTAGAGTTTAATCTGAATAGACTTGGGATTTGAATTGCATTGACTGTTAATGAGGGTGGGATTGTTCATGTTTACTCGTATTGCCAATGTGATGTGTGCAGTATGACATGGATGGGGTGAAAATTCTGCAACAGAATAGAGTTGTATTGGACTATCTTTCTACTTCACTCTAATATCCTCATCCTCATCCTCTTCCTCTTCCTCTTCCTCTTCCTCTTCCTCTTCCTCTTCCTCTTGTTCTTCCTTTTCCCTCTTTACCAATTCTTCACCACTAGTCCCCAACACCCTTTCTCCCCCCCCAAAAACTTAAAAAATCAATACAAAAAGAAAATGTCAACAGTCGCTATCTAACTGTTCCCGTAGAAAAAAAACGAGGGTACCGCTAGCGAAAAAAGCCTGAGATGATGTATTCTTGGCATCGAAAAATGGTCAGGACGTTCTGGGTTGAAACGGGTCTTGATGATAAGGATTGATGCCGTGGATTATTTGGAAGACGAAGGTTAAAGGAAAATGGAAGTATTTATGGGTGATGGAAGCGAGATTTTTGGGGTCTAGGTTGAATGGGGAATGGTTGGCTTTGGTTGCAGTGTGAGATTTGATTGGGTATAGCTGGACGGAAGGATTAGTAAGCAATATGGATTTAATTTTTTGGACGGGGTGGTTTTTGGATGGGGAGAGATTAGGTTTAGGAGGGGTTTTTGTATTGAGGAGAAGATATCACATACATACATATACAGCAAATATGACGTCAAGTAGTAGAGGATGCAGTAGAACTGCTATGAGACTATTAAGTATGTATAATTTCCCATCAATCCAATTCAATTGTCTCATTCATCTTCTTCTACAATGCGCTCGTATCAATATCAATATCAGATACTAATAATTTATGGTATAGACTCTTCAAGGACAACAATCTCACCCCGAACTCGTCTCAACACAACATGTATATACAAACTCTCTACTCCTCCTCTCACAAGAACCTACGCAGTTGCCGCCTCAACCTTCAAACCCCTCGATACACCACCCACGCATCTTCCACACATCGCTGCCCTGCCTCCCGTCACCCCCTCCCCAGGCACCACCACCTACAAAATCTCCGCAGGAATCATCATAAGTCGACCCCCTCTCCTCACCCAAACCGCCACGCCTTTTGAAAAAGCATTCTACCTTTACCAAAAAAGATTAAATGAGAGATTGGTATTACCATTCACGCGATACTTTTATCATAAGAAAGATCAACCCGCGGACATTGAGTGGAAGGCTAGGGTTAAAGAGAGGAATGGGGTTGCGGGGAGGGATATTGGCAGTTATAAGGCGTATGGGGACGATGGGTGGAATGATGAGGTTCTTATTGGAGGGGAAGAAAGCAAGATTGGGGAGTGGGAGGATATGGCGGGGAAGCTTGTGGAAGATGGGATGGGGGAGGAGGGGGAGAGGGTTAAGCTTGAGAGTAGGGAGGGTACTGGAGAGGAAGATAGGAGGAGTTTGGCGAGAAAGATGGAGGAGACGGTTTATTTGGTGGTGAAGGGGAAGAGAATGCGTACCAATAGGGAGGGGGAGGAAGTGGAAGTTGATGTTTGGGAGTTTCCGAGGGGTGATATGCAGGGAAATGAGGCTTTGCATACGGTACGTTTACATGATGTCTTTCACAGATTCCCCATCCTTATACTCATATCTCAACTAACACGCCCTCTCTTCTCTTCACAGGCAGCCGAACGCATCCTCCAGCAAACCGCCGGCTCAAATATGAACACCTGGATAGTAGGGCGCGTCCCCGTTGGCCGACTAACCATCAAGCCCTCTCCCAAATTCGAGCGAGAAGCCGAAAAGGTTTTCTATATGAAAGGGAGGATTATGGCGGGTCAGGTGGATTTGAAGGGGAATGAATATCGGGCTGAGGATTTCATGTGGTTGACGAGAGCGGAGATTGAGGGGGTGGTTACGAAGAGGTTTTGGAGTCAGGTTAAGGGGATGATGGGTGGTAGGTAGGTGAGATGAGGTGTCTCGATGGCATTTGTATCTGTGGAAAGAAGAAAATCAATTGGATGGTGGGGAGGTCTCTGGTCTCTGGGCTCTAGGCATTGTATTATGAATGGATTGATGATTCTTACACAGAGAGGAAGCAAGGAAGCACATCATATTGTAGAATAGCTAGCTAGCTTCCGGCGGGGGAAAATGTATTACTCTTGAATTCATATGGAGATGGAAATTAACATCGAATGTATAAAGTTATTCTGAATCGAATAGACTTACTTTACTTGGTTGTTTATGTTATACGATTTTTATTTTAATTGGTTAGATGGATGGATGGGTGGGTGGGTGTAGTGTATCTACAATGTGTGAGTACCGCATGAGTATGAGTCCTAGGTATATTGTATACCTATGTCGCCGATGTCACAATCAATCAATCAATTTGATCTGATCTGTCAAGTGACATGATATGATATGATATGATGTAATCTTAATGGATAAATCATTGATGAATGAAGATGGAGGAGATCACTTTGTTACTGTATAAATATTGGTTGGGTATTCTGATTTTTTGGTGTTTAGATACATTTCATATCTCGCACCAGACTCGGAGACTTGGAATCAGAGAGTCAAATACAAACTCGAACTTCGATCCAAATTCCCAAGCCAAGTGCAACCTCCCAAGTCCAAATCAAACCTCAACGATATCATATCATGTCATTCCTTGGTATTACTAAACCTATCAAATCAAATTCTGAGTCTGAGTCAGAGTCTGAGGTCGAGTCAAACATGAATCCTAGCTAAAAGAAGGGGGGTAATAATAATAAAAATATTATTATCCTGGGCGCCGGCATCTCAGGTCTTCAAACTGCTTTGAGTTTACTTGAGACAAATGAGGGGAGCAATGGGTATGAGGGTGGGAATGGGAACGAAAACGTAAACGTAAATAAAGTAACGATAATAGCAAAACATCTACCTGGAGATAAGTCACCGGAGTATTGTTCCCCCTGGGCAGGTGCTGATTGGAGAAGTCATACTGAGAGGGGTGGAGGGGAAGAGGAGAGGGCTTATAGGGTTTGGGTTGAGAGGATTGGGTGGGAGAATGATGGGAAAGAGGGTAAAGAGGGGAAGAAGTTAGGGATGAGAATGGGTATGGCATTAACACCATCAATATACTTCTTAGGCGCAAATTATCTATGGGCGGGAAATCGATGTGAAGGGGGTATGGTTTGAGGATTTAGTACAAGGATATGCAGAGCTAGATATATCTCTGTAAGCTGCACTTCGAGGAAAAATAGAGGGGGAGGGATTTCCAAGGGGGAAACTTGGAGTGGATGAGATGTTTATCTTGAGTATCTACTTGAGAAGGTTGAAGGGTTGAAGGGTTGAAGGGCTGGGAGGGAGGATTATTCGGTCTGAAGTTGATACAGAGGATGGAATTGATGGGGTGGTTGGGAGTGTGGTGTGAAGGAGGTTGTAGGGAGAGGGAGAAGGAGAGGGAGAGGGAGACGGAGAGGGAGATATGGATATAGATGTAGATGTCGTTGTTAATTGTACGGGGCTTGCTGCTAGGTAATTTGTGGATAGAGAGGAAAGAGAGAAATTGTATGCGGTGAGGGGACAGACGGGTGTTGGTGGCAGATGATTTGGGGAAGGGGGGTGATGAGTTGATTTATGTGATACCGAGGCCTGGGAGTGGGATGTCGGTTTTGGGGGGGTGTAAACAGGTTAGTTAGTTGGGTGTTATTTCTGTGTTATTAGTTCTAGGGGGAGTGGAATTTCCTTGTGTTGGTTTTGAGTTTTGGTGTGGTTCTTTTTGGAGGGAGGGGATTTGCTAGGATGGGAATGGGAATGGGAATGGGAATGAGATGGAAAAGTGGAGTAATGAGATGAGATGAGATTAATTACTAACCCCTTTATTTTGTGTTGATTGATATGTACAGGTAAATAACAGTAACCCAAACCCCGACGCACACTTAGCAGGGCGAATATTATTACGAGTGAAGGATATCGGATGGGCTAGGGATTTGGTAAATGCAAAAGGGGAAATAGAGGTAGTGAGTATCATTGTAGGATTTCGACCAGGGAGAAGGGGCGGGACGAGGGTGGAGATGAAGGGGAAGGGGAAGGAGGGGATGAGGGGGGAGTGGATGGAAATGGAAAGGGAAAGGGACAGGGGAGAAAATTAGAGGGAGTTCGGGTCGTGCATAATTATGGACATGCGGGGGGTGAGTATCAGTGTAGTGTTGGGTGTGCGGAGGATGTTGTGGGGTTGATTGGGGGGTTGGTGTGAGTGAGGGAGGAGTTGTTGGGTTTGGGGTTTGCGATTAGTTAGTATTATCATATATATTTACTTGTATATGTATTGACGGTCAAATACGTTGAAGATGCTATAATTACGCCAACTTTGGATACAGGTACTGACTAAAATGAGATATTCGCTGAATTACTCGAGCAATATAGAGTTCAACTACTTGTAAATCAGCTGTTAATGATAGATATATATTCATCAAATCAAGTCAAATACTCGAGTACCGCACCGGTACAACTCTGTACTGTACTCCAAAATATCAACGAAATACTCGAGTAGTCCTGGCAGTGGCAGAGCATAAAAACAAAAAAAATGATATCTACTCGAGTATTACTTAATATAGTTGACGAAAATATCTCATCGACTTTAGATTAAACTCGATATCGGCAGAAATCTGTAAAGAAGATTGAAAAGCAGGCACGACAGTATATAATTATGAGTGTTGTCTGTAATATTGTCTTCTGGTTCGAAACCTCTTCAATCATATATTTTCCTTTCCCATATTCATGAATCACTCAACCATCCACTTCATCTCTCCAACTTCGTTCCCGAACACCCCCACCATACACCCACCATAGAGTAAGTACCCACCCACCATCCTCAGTCAAACACAAGTATAGCACAAGCTCAGATTATTTTATCAGTAACATAATAATGAGTTGTGATTTAACAAACAACGCCCGTTTGGCTTAGCGGTAAAGCGCATCACTAGTACTTGCAAAGCAACTAATTCCCAATGATGAGATCCTAGGTTCGATTCCTAGAACGGGCAATAATCTAGATTGTTGTATATAATCTTTTGCAATTCCGATATTCAGCATTTTTCTTTTCTTGGTAATAATAAGTATTATGATTTGATTATAACTTTTTTATTCAAATGTAGTAGAAGTAGATAGAATCAGTCAAATATTTATCTTAAATAATAAATAAATAGTATTTATTCATTATTCAACAGCGATGGTTTAGTTCAATCAATTCAATTCTTAGATATTTGGTTTTATTTTATATAATAACAAATGTAATCGCTTCAGATTCGGGTAATGAATGAGCCAAGTCAGTCAGTCAAAGCCCCTAATCCTCGCTAAAGCTAACGCTACCTACGCACACTACCAGTGCAATATAATAACATTCGAACGCGGTAAATGGTTGTTCTTGTAGATGTGAGAAGGGTGATTTTATTCGAGTTGAGGCGGTATACTATACTAATCGACTAGGCTAGAGTCGCACCTTCCATATTGATCCCTAACAGCGGTAGTGCCAGGTTCGTCTGTAACACGATCAACGGCTTGTAGCAAAGCCCATTTCTCCAGGAATAATAACAAGTATTTGTGTGGATGAGGTGGTAGCGGTGGGACGGAGTGGTACGTGCATAGGTGCTGAGCGGGAGTGGGAAGAAAGGAGGAAGTTAGGATTGGTGTATGAACGCAGTAGGGTAGGAGGAGATAAGGGAAAATCACCTAAAGAGAAACTTGTGGTGAGTATAGCTTGGAGGGCAGGCACTATTAACACAAGAGGTCATTATATTTCTATACACACTGGTATCGTCAGTTGATTTTTCCGTGCTCTAAAATCTTACGATTTCAATATTGCTTGAATACACAACCGATATGTCTACTCGAGTGCTCGAGTAGTAAAAAAAAACATTATTCGGGCTCCTCCTTAAAGTCACGAATATTCTTTCGACGACAAAATCGACATTAAACACTTCGTCAAAATAGTAAGTGCATTCCAACTCGTTGTTGTACAGCATAGAATATAAGATGAAAGTTCTATTTCAAAGAAATATGGTGAGAATGTTATTCTGAGTATTACCATCTACGTATCGGCGGGCATTGGTCCCCAGCATTTGTTTTCACTTCCCCAAATCGAACATATTCCATTTTTGTAAAATAAAAAGTTATCTGCTAGCGCCTATAGGGTCTAGCCGTCCTATATAGTCTTAGACTGAAGATGGACGTAAATTAAATCAATCAATCAATCTACGTATCGGCTTCATCTTTTCAGTGGGTCTATCTCATGTCCTATACATTCCCTACCATTCCCTCCATTAGCTTCCTTGGCTGCACTCAAAACTCTCCATAATCTAAATCATCAATATCAGCATCGAACTTTCAATCGTTTCAACTATCTCATAGCACATCCATCTCCCAATTGAAAAATTACTCACCTATCCATCCCAAATCTCAAATCTTTCTCCCCCATAGCAAAAGTAATCCTATACCAACCCGGTTCTTCTGATGCAAACGCCTCACCTGTAGCCAACCAAATCCCACATCTCAACATTTTCCATGACAGTATACGTTCTGCCTCAATAGTTGGAGATGTAAGATAAGCTCTAAGATCTATCCAAATGAAAGGACCACAGGAGCTATTTTGTATCAGTTTATATCTATACCAAGACGAGAGTAGGTTAAGATGGGATTTGTTCTTACGCAGGAATATAAGGAATCTCCAATTCCTTCAATCTCTGCGTACAAATCTCACATGCAATAGTCATTCTTTGACCCAGAGTTGAGAAATAATGATCAAGGAATGTTTGATCAGTCAACATTAACGTCCATACATGATCAGACAACGAGGATGCCCATGCGAATTTTGATATTGCTCCTAGGGTTCGATGAAGAGTGGAATTATGTTGTGAGATTATACATCCGATTCGTAGGCCATTTGAGCAGAAATCCTAGGGCAGCATTTATCAGATTTCGAGTTGCTTTGGAAACTAAAGGATGAGAGAGACAACTTACCTTACTCATACCGTAAACCACACTTACCAACCCTGGATCACAAAATCTTGCGATGTTCAATGAAAGTATTGAGGTAAAATGCATTGGATTCGGAATATCCTGATTGGGAAAAACAGCTTTGGCATATACCTCATCGCTGATGAGATGGATATTGTATTTTGAACAGAGAGATAGATATGCTTCCAAGACTTCCGGTGAATAACATCTTCCGAGGGGATTATGTGGATTACAGAGCATCAGTCCTCTAATCTTGATACCTGTTCGTGCAGCGTCCAGAAGTGCTTCTTCGTGTTTATGGACTCCGATCATTGTAGTGACGTCCTCGAGTGAGCCGATTGATACCGGAATTACTTTGACTCTATAATTCATAATCAGCATTTGCTATTTTCGGGAAGATGAAAGCGCCGGTGAGTAAAAAAGAACACACCTTGCGCGATCCTCAAAATCTCCCACAAACCCAACGTAAAAGGGCTGAGCAACTAAGATCCCTTCATCTTCTTCTGCTATACAATAACTCAATGCATCAAGAATTGAGGAACCTCCTCCCATAACCGTAACATGTTCTCTTGAAACTTGTTCTTTGGGTGAGAAATTTGAGTTCCAGAATTCGGCGAGAGCAGCACGTAATTCGAAGGAACCAGTTGGGCCATCTCCATAGGTGAGCACTAGATTTTGTCAGAATTTTACTTCTGTTTGAGGTGAGAAGGAAAGGAGGATATGAGATAAAATACTTTTTGGAGTCACCCGGAAATTTGAATTGATATACTCGGCGATTTCATCATGCCTATAAATTCATGCATCCCTCAAGTCAAAATCCTGAACAACGTAAGACCACTCAACAACTTGAGGAAGAAATGACATACATGATTCTATTCTCCGCAATCCCCATGGGAAAAATCCCCTCGGGATTCTCTTCTGACCAGGGATTTCCAAATACTGTACCCATGAAATCTCGGATTTCTTCTGATGAGATGTTTTGGAGACATCGGGAAGAGAGGTTTTCCATTTGAATTGAACAGTTTATATGAAGATAAGAGAGGAATGAGAGGATGGGATAGGAAGGAATGTATATAGATAAATTTATATTTATACTACAAATGTGTAGAATTATCGATAAGAGAGCAACTGAATGTGCTAATTATATTTTACTCCGACTCGGCGATATTATCAGGACACTCAAAAATTCAACAAAAAATGAAATCTTAAATTAATTAGTTCTTTATTATATTTACAGATATATAATATAAAGAAAAATTCAGAGCTTCAACAAAATTTTATATTTGGTATATAATTGATTTGATATCTAAAATATAAGATAGTCACGTGATAATAATTGAGACTAGACTTCTCGTTCGGAATTTATTTTATAATATCTAATATATTATATTTTTATTAGACATTTATAGAACTTATCTAAGTAGTATAAGAGTAAAATAGATATTATTTTCGTAATATAAAAAAATATATAATTCACTTTTGATAGTATAAGAGTAATTTACTATATATTATAGTTATATAATAATAATTTAGATCTTAGGTCTTTTATATCTGAGTTTTTGAGACTATTTTTGATAATTATTCTCACTGTTTTTTATATCATTAGAATCAGCTTAGAATTCTGTATCTATAAATACAATAAAAAACTCCAATTTATTTTGAAATCACAATTTTTTTTAGTGAGTTTAGGTGACCTTGACAGCAGTCCCGAAAGGCTGAAGCAAAGCTTGATATATTGAATATGGGATTGAAGTTTCGGACTCCTTTATCGCATTCACAAAGCATTAATCAAGTTCTCCATCCTAAAATTCTTGCTTGCTGTACCTTGCGTTCTGGTATTTAAGCTTGGGTTGGGTTGTCTAATTTGCAGCCATGTTCCAATGCAAACCATTCTAGATCAACGCTCCATGTCTACTGTATATCATCCTGTAGAGACATATGATACTTCTCTATCCCACCAATCAGTCTGTTTCTTTGATAGTCCTTTTGTTTGTTTCCTGCTCGTCGAAATCCTATCTCCCTTCTCCGCTCGCATACTTGGTACCACAAAACAACCCCAACATCAAAAGTGACAAAAGGATAATGATCAATAGATCGTATTGAGCCCCGCAGGGGTCGAACCTGCAATCTTTTGATACGTTTATCTGTAAATTTTACAGGAATCGAAGTCAAACGCGTTGCCATTGCGCCAGAGGCCCAATTTTGTTATGATGATAGAGCAGAGCTTTAGTATATCAACTAGACTTCAGTAGTGGAGACTGATTTGAGACGGAATGAGTGGGGTGTGGATGCTGTGCTGGTGCGAGTACCTGTTGTGTGGCAGGATTCTCACATTGGTTTAGCTAAGCGGCTAATCTAGGGGGGGCGATTAGCTGGCGAATTCTATGACAGGGTACTACTGTTTTCCGGGCTAGGGCAAGTTACATTGATATTATTGATAGGGGCATAGCGGTCAATCATTGATAAGGAAAGCTTCCATAGAAAGCTTCCACTGAACTTCTATGTCAGATCGACAGTCCGCAATATATTTGACTCGGCACTAGTACCGGACGAGTCTAGTGGCGTAGCACGGAAATCACGGGCATTTTGATTGTCCGTTGCCCCACTTGAGAGGATTCGTTTTTTTGAGGATTGAGCTGGGGACCCGAGATTGGATAAAATGGAGATAGGTGATTTGGAGCGGGTTCTCACTAGGCGGAGGAAGAAGGCGTCGGAAAACACGATTAGTTGAATTTGAGCGGGGTGGGAAGGGGCAAAGTGCGGGACAGGAAGGGGAGGGGACGGGAAGTTATAGGTAAGGAAACATGTATGATGGATGTATCACTAATTTAGTTGCTAATATAGTATTTGCAGATACAACCATCTAATTGCTGATATGGATGAATTTGCATACAGGCTGGAGGTGTATAGATCACTAACATACCGTATCATTGCCAGGAGGTGATAGGTGATGGGATCTTATTAATTGTAGATTTTCAGGGGTAGGATTTATTCGCTATTTAATTTGATGGTAGGGCTGTTTACATTTGAAATGATGGAACAATGCCCTATATCCCTATATCAGAACAAAGGTCTGGCCCGGACTATGCGGACTTTTAAACACCGGTACAGTATGAGGACTCGGTTACTCTGGACTTGCGTCGAGTCTTTGTCGTCTATGTCGAGAATAACGACTCCCTACTTCGTCCCCATGAACTTTGATAATACCAAGTATGACGAATGTGGACTCGTCAATTAGCACATGGAAAAGTTTCCGTTTCAAGATTGTTGAAGATAGGATAATGGGTATCGGCCCCCGTGCTGAGGTAGCCGCGCCGCACGCACTGCATCGGTCTTCTGTTTGTCCGAGAGGAATGCGGAAAACCTATTTTTGGCTGGCGGCCTCGTGTTTTTGGGTGTAGATTACCCGCATATGGGATTCTCCTTTGATATCAGCTTGTAGTATCCGTATTTTCAATGATTAGTTGATGGTTTTGGTGGGTCTGGTTTTCAACGGTCCTTCATATGAATCATATCATTAACTTCGAAAGTTTCCAGTCCGGTGTTAGAGATTACTTATTAACCTACTTACTGCTCCTTTGTTGATGAGGAAAGTAACAAGCCTCTGACGTCTTTAATTTTCTTATCACCTCTACTTTGAGGTTTTTTCTTCTTCTGGGATTACTTTTAATACTTTTCCAACATTTCAAGATCAATTAATTTTAAAAGATTCGTTCCTACCAATTGGTGGTTGGATATTAAAATTACCATCGCCTATCATGGCAGCCATTGAGCCAGAAGGCTTCGCTTCTATTGTTCGACAACAAGAAGGTCACGGAAATGGACTTACACGAGCACTTTCAGCATCATCAGCTTTTTCGGAGCGAAGAGCAAGCAGAGCCTACGATGATTCCGACGAAGACAATAAGGATGGACCAATTAGTATGGCCAAGGATTGGAATTTAATGCCCGAGATTCAAGCTATGCGAGAACAAGGAGAAAAAGATCAGGTCAAGAGAAGAGATCTCGGAGTAACATGGAAGAACTTGACGGTTAAGGGAATTGGAGCTGATGCGGCTATCAATGAGAACGTTGGATCGCAATTCAACATTCCAAAAATCATCAAGGAAGGAAGAACAAGTGCACCCCTCAGGACGCTCGTCGACAATGCTCATGGATGTGTTAAGCCCGGAGAGATGTTACTGGTTCTTGGAAGACCTGGGGCTGGATGCACGACTCTACTGAAGATGCTTGCCAACAACCGAATGGGATATGCAGAAGTCACGGGCGATGTCCATTTTGGATCATTGAACCATACCGAAGCACATCAATACCGAGGACAGATCGTCATGAATACCGAAGACGAGCTTTTCTTCCCTACGCTGACCGTTGGACAAACCATCGATTTCGCGACCAGAATGAAGGTTCCACATCACTTACCTTCAAACAAAAGTACTCCGCTTGAATATCAACAGGAGATTAGAGATTTCTTACTGAAAAGTATGGGTATTTCACATACTCATGAGACTAAAGTTGGAAATGAGTACGTGAGAGGTGTTTCTGGTGGTGAGAGGAAACGTGTTTCTATTATTGAGACGCTTGCTACCAGGGGAAGTGTGATGTGCTGGGACAATTCGACAAGAGGTTTGGATGCGAGTACGGCTTTGGAGTATACGAAAGCTATCAGGGCATTGACCGATATCTTTGGATTGGCCAGTATTGTTACGCTATATCAGGCTGGTAACGGTATATATAATCTGTTCGATAAGGTCCTGGTTTTGGATGAGAGCAAGCAGGTTTACTATGGACCAAAGAATCAGGCAAGACCTTTTATGGAAGAGTTAGGATTCATTTGTGATCATTCTGCTAATGTTGCCGATTTCTTGACTGGTGTTACAGTATGTTCTTCTCCTTGTCATTGAGTGCGCCCTCAATACTAATCGTATCTTATAGGTACCAACTGAACGCAAGATCAGGGAAGGCTTCCATGACCGATTCCCCAGAACTGCCGGGGAGATACTCACTGCTTACAACAATCACCCCATCAAATCCGAAATGGAAGCCGATTACAACTATCCAACCACCGACCTTGCCAAACAACGGACATCCGATTTTCGCGAATCCGTCCAGCACGAAAAGAGTGCCAAACTAAGCGAGCAATCCCCCCTCACCACCAGTTTCGTCACCCAAGTCAAAGCCTGCGTCATCCGTCAATATCAGATCATCTGGGGAGACAAAGCCACTTTTATTATCAAGCAAATTGTCACGCTCATACAGGCTCTCATCGCCGGTTCTCTCTTTTACAACGCTCCTGCCAATTCCGGCGGTCTGTTCATCAAATCCGGCGCCATTTTTCTGTCTCTCCTCTTTAATGCTCTCCTCGCCATGTCTGAAGTTACTGATTCCTTTTCTGGTCGTCCTGTTCTCGCTAAACATAAAGCATTCGCTCTGTATCATCCAGCCGCTTTCTGCATTGCTCAAATCGCCGCCGACATCCCCATACTCGTTGTACAAATATCACATTTTTCACTTGTCATGTATTTTATGGTGGGATTGCGACAAGATGCCGGCGCATTTTTTTCCTACTGGGTTATCGTTTTTGCAGCAACGATGTGTATGACGGCTCTTTTTAGGGCTTGCGGTGCTGGGTTTTCGACTTTTGATGCTGCGGCTAAGGTGTCGGGGTTCATGATTAGTGCCTTGATTATGTATACGGGTTATATGATAAAAAAGCCTGATATGCATCCTTGGTTCGTATGGATCTATTGGATCGATCCCCTCGCCTACGGTTTCTCAGCACTCCTAGCAAACGAATTCAAAGGCCAAGTTATTCCCTGTGTGGGGCCGAATTTAGTTCCCAACGGAGACGGCTATGTCGATCTAGCATACCAAGCTTGTGCCGGTGTGGGAGGGGCTTTACCAGGAGCCACCAGTGTTACCGGAGAACAATATCTCGGTTCTCTTTCCTACTCCACTAGTAACATTTGGAGAAACTTTGGAATTCTCTGGGCTTGGTGGGTATTGTTCGTCGGTCTCACCATCTACTTCACTAGTAATTGGAGTTCTTCTGCAGGAAAATCTGGATTTCTTTTGATCCCAAGAGAAAAGGCGAAGAAGAGTGCTGCAATTTTGCAAGCGGCCAACGCAGGCGATGAAGAATCGCAGGTGGTTCAAGAAAAACGTCAGAAAGACTCTCGTCCCGCGTCTCAAGATACCAAGGTAGAAGATGAAACTAATGATCAACTAATGCGCAACACCTCTGTTTTTACCTGGAAAAATCTCACATACACCGTCAAGACACCATCGGGCGATCGGATCCTTCTTGATAATGTACAAGGATGGGTCAAACCAGGCATGTTGGGTGCACTCATGGGATCGTCCGGAGCAGGTAAAACGACACTTCTGGATGTACTCGCTCAACGCAAAACCGATGGAACTATCAAAGGATCAATTCTCGTTGATGGCCGACCCCTCTCTCTTTCTTTCCAACGTTCAGCCGGTTACTGCGAACAATTGGATGTACATGAACCACTGGCTACTGTCCGTGAAGCATTGGAATTTTCAGCACTTCTCAGACAATCGAGGACAGTTCCGGAGGCTGAAAAATTAAAATACGTCGATACGATTATTGATCTGTTGGAATTGCACGATATTGAGAATACATTGATTGGAAGTACAGGTGCCGGATTGAGCATTGAGCAGAGAAAGCGTTTGACAATTGGCGTGGAACTTGTTTCTAAACCATCCATTCTCATCTTCTTGGACGAGCCGACTTCTGGTCTCGATGGACAAGCCGCTTTCAACACCGTACGATTTCTGAGGAAATTGGCCGATATTGGTCAGGCCATCTTAGTTACCATCCATCAACCTTCCGCTCAACTCTTCGCTCAATTCGATTCTCTTTTGCTACTCGCCAAGGGAGGCAAAACCGTTTACTTCGGAGACATTGGTGATGACTCGAAAACCATCAAGGAATACTTTGCCCGCTACGATGCTCCTTGTCCCGAATCATCCAATCCCGCTGAACACATGATCGATGTCGTTTCCGGTTCTTTGAGCAAGGGCAAGGACTGGAACGAAGTCTGGCTCAACTCCCCCGAATACGATTACACCGTCAAAGAACTCGACAACATTATTGATACCGCTGCTGCTGCTCCCCCTGGAACATCCGATGATGGATTCGAGTTTGCGATGCCGATTTGGCAACAAGTCAAGCTGGTCACTCATCGTATGAACGTTTCTATTTACCGCAACACTGACTATATCAACAACAAATTCGCACTCCACATTGGATCTGCGCTGTTCAACGGCTTCAGTTTCTGGATGATCAATGATTCCGTTGCAGGGCTCCAGCTACGTCTCTTCACCATTTTCAATTTTATTTTCGTCGCTCCTGGTGTCATGGCGCAATTACAACCCCTTTTCCTCGCACGCCGAGACATCTACGAAGTACGCGAGAAGAAATCGAAAATGTACTCCTGGTGGGCGTTCGCTACTGGAAACGTCGTCTCCGAACTCCCCTATCTCTGTATTTGCGCCGTTCTTTACTTCGTCTGCTGGTACTACACCGTTGGGTTCCCAGCCGATTCCAACAAAGCTGGTGCCGTCCTCTTCGTCATGATTTGTTATGAATTCATCTACACGGGTATTGGACAGTTCGTCGCCGCTTACGCGCCCAACGTGGTGTTCGCCTCATTGGTCAATCCGCTCGTGATCGGTACTCTTGTATCTTTCTGTGGTGTATTGGTGCCATATGCACAAATCACCGCATTCTGGAGATACTGGATGTATTATCTCAATCCCTTCAACTACCTCATGGGCTCTTTACTCGTCTTCACCAGCTGGGATGCCCCTGTCCGATGCCGTGAATCCGAATTCGCCATCTTTGACCCCGCGAGCGGTACTTGCGGCGAATATTTGACCTCGTATCTCCAAGGTATGGGGGCAGCAGCAAACTTAACGAATCCGGATGCCACGAGTGGGTGTAGGGTTTGTGAGTATAGAACTGGAAAAGATTATCTACAAGGCTTGAATTTGGAAACTTACACATATGGATGGAGGGATGCGGGGATCTGTGCATTGTTTGTTTTTAGCGGTTATGCGTTGGTATTTTTGTTGATGAAGTTGAGGACGAAGAAGAGTAAGGGGGCTGAGTAGAGTGGGGGTTTAATTCGGTGCCAATACTACTGTATGTATTATTGAGGAGCAAGTGTGAGTGGACGAGTAAGTTCTCGCATTCCATGTACAAAGAAGGATATAGAATTAGACGTTGTAAAGTTCGGAAGGGATAGACTTTAGATTATTTATGTTTATGAGAAAAACGTACTGTTTTGGCGCTTGGAGATGAGCGATTAACTTCTTTTTGTAAATATTTAGCAAAATATCATGGACTACTTTAATTATTATTTTTCGCTCTATTTGTCTAGTTTTTTTATAAAGTATATTGTGACAGAACAGACGCCTCTCTTCCATCCACTAGCTCATACACCTTACGTAGTATAATAAGACGGTTCTTTTAGACCTTCCTTTCTTAGCTTAGAACTCTAGCTCTATAACTTTAAACCTATAATACTTATCTCTAGTTCTCCTTTCACTCCTTTGGGCCTAGTCATTAGTGCTCCCAAAACTTGTATATATAGTTCTTCTTTTAGTACTCTATATAACTCTTCACTTATAGATTCTAAGTATATAATCGGAGTCCTGTTTATATTCTTTTAATTATACTAAATACTCTATTTAAAGATTTTTTAATTCGTTTTATTCGTATTTATTTAAGAAGAAAAGAATAATAAGAATATAATATAATCAAATTTATATATAATCTACATTTTTGATATTAACTATAACTTTTATAGAGTCTAGCTTTATAAAAAGAATTAAATAAAAGAGTAGAAAAGAATAAAAAATAATAATTAAAATAGTTCTTTATAAGTAATAATAAGAGCTATTATATTAAAAGATTAATAGTCTTTAATAACTTCTCTATTCATTCTCTATTAGAGTAGCTCTATTTATTATCTTTCTAATTATTAGTTATATTCGTAAAGTATTCCGAACCACTACTTTGAGACTATATTGTTCTGCCGGCTATTGATACTTAATCTAGAAGGCGGTGGGAATCATTGGATATAGGATGACAACTTCTCGAACACCTTACTCGAGTACTATAACCAGGAGCGCTGCGCCTCCCGGCACTCTCCCGCCCTCTGCCTTCCTGGTTTTTTTTAAATTATTATAACTTTATCAATAATTTTAATAATATCTACTCTAATATTAGGCTTACTTTAATAATAATTATATATTCTGAAAGCCCTTAATCGTTTTAATCTAATTATCAAATTTTTTATTATTTCATTTAATTATTTAAGATTCTATATTGAATTGAAAGCTTTTTGAAAGATTTTTTGGATATACAATGCCAAGAGTTTTCTAACATTGAGGTTTAGACCAATCAGAGCTTCAGAAACGCGACTCATTTTAAGCGAACAACATTTTTTCAGTCTACTATACTAGTACTTGCGTACAGCAAGAATATTTAGAGGCTACGCCTCCAACAATTCCATTATTAAAACAACATTTGACAGGCCAGAGCCATTAGCTCGCCAATCCTAACATGGTCTTCCTCGTAGAATCTCGATCACTAGGCCTCCAGATACAGAAAACATCGTTACGACCAGTTGCACAGACTTTAGTATATTGAACCCTATCTTCTGTTCGTCTGATCAAGCTAACATGTAACCAACTACCTCTAGATTGGCCAGATTTCGTTAACCTTCCGAGAATGTCATTCAACGTTTGTAGGCTTCTTTAATTTGGATTCTCCGGTTCGCAAATCACATCTGTTGAAGGCCATTCCATCAACTGGCTTCCGTCCTTTCTTCTCATCTACCCCGCTAGCACGTGGTTCGCAATTTCGCAATTCCCAAGCTGGCAAACATGTGTATGGCAAAAACAGACCGCAACAGCCACAGCAACGGCAACAGCGACAATCCCAACACAATCAAGATAATTACCAATACATTCGTAACGGCCCTCCCCCTCCCAAAACCCGCAGACCCGGCTCTAGCTACCCACTCGCGGTCGCCATCGCCGTAGGATGTACATACCTAACCTTCAGCTACAACCAACTGCACCCTGGACATCCTTCCTTTCCGCTCCCGGACATACTCTTCCTATTCACGCCCCGCTTCATCGAGAGGCACTTCATTCTTTCGCAACGAAATATCGACGAAGGACGTCTCCACACCCTGCTCACCAGCAGCTTCATACACATCACCTACCCACATCTCGCTATGAACATGTTTGGCCTCATAACCCTAGCACCGCTGGTCAATCCCGTAACATTCGTCGCCGTCTGGATCGGCGCCGGTATCTCTTGTTCGCTGGCCACGCTGTATACGTGGAAACATGGTCTTCCGTTCACCCATAGCAATAATTCCTTGTACTCGGCAGATCGCGCTTGTGGTGCTTCGGGTAGTGTGTTAGGTCTCGTGTCGTTGCTCGCGGTTCAATATCCGATGATATCCTGGCAGATAATGCTTATACCGATAGGGTTTCCCGCTTGGCTGTTGGTGAGTGCAGAGGCGGGTTATAGTGTTCTGGCGCTTAAATATGGGTGGCATAAGGGAATTGGGCATGCGGGACATTTGGGAGGTACGGCTTTTGGTATCTTGGCTGGTATTGTGAGTATGAGGTTTGGCAGGAGAAGGTTTTAACGTGGTGTTCATGGATAAAGTCTATGCTCAAGGTAGACTTCAAGATAGGGATAAGCGGATATGTTATGATTTCCTCACTTTATAATAGTTCAGTTCCAGAGCATTAGATGATATAATCGTTGATTATATATAGAGAAATAGGAAGTATAAATAAGTGAAAAGCTAAGAGCTACTTTAATTATTATGGTCCGTTCTTTTTTCCTAGCTTTTTGTGACCAAAAGGGTATAAACATGACTCCGATTGTGTACTTAGAATCTACAAGTGAAGAATTATATAGGGTGCTAAAAGCAGTGTTTATATACAGATTTGATAGCCCTAAAAGAGTGAAAGAATAGAATAGAGATAATCATTATACGATGCCTAGGTCTAGAAGCTCTAGACTAAGAAAGAAAGATCTAAAGCAACGGTCTTATTATACCATATAAGATATATGAGCTAGTGGATAGAAGAGAGGCGTCTATTCCGTTATACTACTCTTCTATTATATCTACTCTTTTATTACTTACTATAGATTCAATGTAAGGGAATATAAGCAATGAATCATATAGTACACTTTTTGATAGAGACTTTCAATTACTTTCTAATTAAGATATTATTCTAAGGAGTTTAAATACTTTGTGTAACGTTTCGCTATGCTTCGCTAAGTAGCTTTCGTACAAAGGATTTCAATCAATAGCCCGGAATCGATACTCTTCCGGCACTGACTCAGCTTATAGAAAGAATCTAAATACTATAATGACTCGTAAGATTCAAATTATAATAAGAAATCGACTAATATATTTCAGATATAGACTTCCTTAATACTTTTATAATTTTAAAGATTTTTATTTACTTTATTTTCCGAAATATTCTAATTCTCTAAATATCTCAATAAATATTAAAGGAATAGTTCTCGTAGTATATATAACTAGAGGGAGCTAATCCCATTCAGAGATAATAGAAACTCTGGCTTATCTAAAGTTCCTTTCTTTATAGATTTCTTTTCTTTTTAATGAAAATACAATTTATTTAAATTCTATGATTTTATTCTATAAGCTTTTTATTTACCTTATAAATAGTTATATTTGAAATAGATTATAAACCTAGGTTTATATAAAAATTAAAATCATTAGTGAAAGGAAATACAAGAAATAATAATAAATTATAATATAAAAACTTTTTATATAAAACTAGTAATAAGTTGTAATATAAAAGCTTTTTTATACAAAATCAGTAATAAATT